TCCATTTCAGACAAACTAGGGGGAAAATATCCTACTTAGAGATTCTTATCTTATTAAAATGTAAGTGAAGCCCCTTTGAGACACTTGAGTTTTTCTGGAGCCTTCTGCCCAGGTTCTTGCCATGTTCGTCCATGGCTATTTTTTTTCTGAAGGTAGAGAGGAATTGCATGCTTCAGGATATTTATGTGCTACATGTACATGTTGCTTTGGTACCAAATAACTAAATGAATGTTATTCAACAACTAATTTAGCGGGGAAAAGGATGATTTTTCTGTATTATATGACTTTCTCAGCAGAGAATTAGAAAAAATGCAAATAAGAGGTGAAGTAAAGAACCTAAATAGACATAAAAGAAATTCAAGGAACTGGAGCATAGTGTCCTCTCTCAGTCTGGCTCTTTGGTGTCATTGTTTTGGTATTTTTGTGACTTCTTAGACTCAAATATCTCCAGAGAGGCAAAGGTTGGAGCCACATTGAAATTTCGTGCTGCTCTTGTTTTTTTCAGATGACCCATTACATTCACCATCACCTGCAACATTCTCACAGTTCAGAAGAGTTCTTTTAAATTTTTAATACACTGTCTTTTTCGATGGCAGAGAGCCCCTTTTGCTGGCTATCAGCCCTAGACACATGAATTATATATCTATAAATATACTCATAAAGCAAAAAAGCAGGGCAGCCTTCAGGGCTAAAATAGACCTTTTATATCCCTAGTGATCTCTCTAGTTTAAAGAAAAGCACAACCCTGTCAAAAAGGGGTATATATTCCTGATTTAAAATGCTAACATTAAGGAATATAGTTCTTATTCCAAGCCAAAGAAAAATTCTGGGGATGGAATAGGAAATTAGGGTGTTGATGGCCTGCAAGGTTTCTGCCTGTAACCCCCTATGATTTTAGGCTTGTTATTTCTGTGAATACTTTTATAAGCAGAGACATCTGGTAGATCTCTGACTCCATAGTCTTTGGGCATTGAAAAAAGTATCAGCTGCTCCAGCATTTCTGAGGTAATCACTTTGGATTAAAACAAACATAAAATCTTAAGTAGCTTTCTACAATCTAAGTTATTTCTTTTAAGGATCTAATCATGGGAGAAATGTGTCCTTCATCTCCTCATCTCAAAGGATGTATGCCTTGGACTCCCCAGGACACTATAATCGTCCTAAATCTTAGAGATGGAATTGGATATTAAAATTGATTATACACACCAACTCCCACACCTGTCCCAGGCACCTTGCACATTTACAGGTCTCTAGAATTTTCCATCTCATTTTCACTGTAATTCCCATTTGTAACAATTCCCACAGCCCAGTTGACCTTCCTTTTAAACTGAAGACATTCTTCAATTTCTTAAGATGCCAGGAAAGGGGGTGGATTATGAAAGCTTTTCTCCCTTTTCATTGATGAACCCTACCACCAGAATTGGGGCTCACTTTTCTCTGACAGGGGGCATCATTTATCATTTTTTTTATCACTGCTGCCAGGATTAATAACAAAAATGGCAAAGAAAACTGAAGATTAGTAATTTGGACAGATTATTTAAACTCTGATATAGCATACCCATCATTTTAGTTTTGAAATAAGCTCTTATCATGTCACTTAGGGGCTCACCAACCTTTTAGAAGCTCTTTATAAACTGGAAAGCTTTAGGACTCTTTTCATGATGAAAATGGCTTCTACTCTTTTTTTTAATCCAAGTGAGATTAAAAGGTATTGAATTGGGAAGTGAATAGCAAAGGAAAGTGGGGGGGAGGCAACTCAACTGCAGAGTGAACCGTTTGTGAATTTTGTAGACTTTTTACAACAAAGAAACTGCGGAAGCTTTGGGATTGCAAAAAGGGGGCGGGGAAGGAGGCAAATTTAAGACCCCAGCTGGGTGTCACAGAGGGTACACTAAAACTGCAAATGAATGCCACTCTGTAATCATGAAGGCACTGATCTTAATCTCACTTAAAGGGACACCAGCACCCTATTTAACAATTTGCCTTTATATTTCAGTGTTCTGTACCAGGCTTTGGCCTTTTAGCAGATTGGTTATTCCTTGTCCTTTATCCCAGTTTCCTCTCTGCTTAATATACAAGGGGCAGATTTTTATCATGGTCCTAAGGAACAGATGACTCTCAGTATTTGTGCCAGAAAAGAACACACAAGCTAAACCTTTATTCTAGGTGAGACGGGTTAAAAAAAAAAAAAAAAAAAAAATCCTGACTTGTTCTCTGAAGGAAAGTAAAATCATCCCTGAGTAATCTCTAGGGAACCTTCAAACACATTGCATGGGCCTTCTCTTCTCTCTTCTCATCACTGTTCTCTTCCTTAAACACTGCCTTTTTCCATGGGTCACCTTAAATATTAACACTTGCCATCCCCTCCCCCTCACCAGAAGAATGAGGAGAAGAGTAAACCCAGGGTTAGTTTTAGGACTGGCTTACCTTTAGGGAACTGTGCTCCAAATCCCATTTCTAAAAACTAGCAACAGTTGTAAATTATGCATTAAATATGTTGCAAGATATAGGAATTCTATATGTTCACAATGTTAAAAAAAAAAAAAAAAAAAAGCCACACTGGTCCAGTAAAGCAAGTCTGAAGCTTTGACAAATCTGCAAAGATTGTTTCGCTCAACAGTTTGAAACTCTTGAGCACTAGAGGAGAAGCTTGAGGTTAGCACATAGCCCAAAATATCATCTTGAAATTCTTAGAAAGGTTCGTGTTTTATTTCTCTACACATGGTAACATTATCAGGTAGGACAGAGATGACTGGTTGTCTTCCAAATGATACACATACATTATGTACCTTATTGCCACCCTCCCCAACTGCATTTCTCTCTGCATAACACAATATTACTGGCTAATTCTGGGGTAAAGCTTCTGACAAGGGTACAAAGGGTTCCCCTCAGGTGCTTTGAAGGTATGTAACGGGCTTCCTCTCCAGCTGCAATCTGGGCGGTTTAGATGCAGCAGTTCCAAAGGAGGCACAGGAAACTAAAAGACAAAGTATGGAAAGCGGAGCAGGAGAGTTCTCATTTGTGAGTCAGTCTTTGTAGGAAGAACCTGAAAGACCATGTAAGCGCAAAGGCTTGTCCATCTAGAACTCTGCAGTAGTGAGTCACATGTCTGACTTTGTCACCAATAAGGGGCACCTCAGCGAGAGTCACATCTGATAATATATGTTCCAACACTGACCATCCCGTCAGGGCAGTTACTGGGGAGGGCGGAACAGACAAGAACATCATACCTGGCTGAGTGCTTAATGACCCAGCTCAGAAATAATATATTCCCAACTCAACTGTCTGACTAACTGGGACTGGAAGACATCATGCCGTCCCTGCTGGAGGATTTTTTTAAAAAATAGCTGAATTATATTTTTGGAATAAATTTAGTGAGGAGATATGAACTGTGACTTCTGGAGATTCTTTCTCTGTTTGAAAAATAACATGGTAAAGAGACACAGAAGAGACCTCGATTATCTCGCTTACGTACGTGAGTAATAAACGTGGCCCAACAATTAGGTGAGTAACATCCACCACAGAATATTTGTGGTACCCATGATTTGCAAGGCACTATGATTTACTGCATTACTCTGAACTTTCTTTCCTGACCTAGTCCACATGTTTATAAGTGCAATAACTAGGGTCTGTGGGTAAACCAATTTATTTTTCCCACTCTAGATAAGAATCGCTGATTTTAATTTTTTTAAGATTTTATTTATTTGAGAGAACAAAGAGGGGCAGAGGGGGAGGGAGAGGGACAAGCGGACTCCCTGCTGAGCTGAGCAGGGAGCCCAACAGGGGGCTCAATCTCAGAACCCTGAGATCATAACCTGAGCTGAAACCAGACGCTTCACTTAACTGACTGAGCCCCCGCCAGGCACCCCAAGAATCGCTGATTTTAAAAACTCACTTTATTATTTCTACATTTCTGAATCTAAGTTTTCCACAAGGCAAGGATATCTAGTCTGAGTATTTTTAAAATCTAGTGTCCACCTCAGCATATATTACGTATAGCATAAAAGCAACGCATAAACATGAGATCAGTGCAAGGCAAGTTGTCATTCAATAGGGGAATTTCTGGGAAAGCATAATTAAAAAGGGGTTGTTAGATGAACATTTTTAACCTCTCTTGCGCTCCCCTCACTTAGCATATAGTAAATGAAGACTGAACTTGATAAATGTTAAATAAAAAGACAGTAGCTTAAAATACTAAAGACAATCTTTTATGTTCACTGATCTTGATCTCTGTGACGTGGAGAATATCATGCTCATCCTCATGGGGGAGCAAGTAAGTAGAAACCCAAGAAGGCAATAATGAAATGCTAGGGCTTACAGGTTAATCACATGCATGAGTGCATACACACACACACACACACACACACACTTCTGATAGCCAGTTTTTGCAACAGTAATATGGAAGGTCATTATTTTGTAAGCAGATTCTGGAAACAGCCTACTTGAAATCTATCCAAATAATTACTTGAGAGTATCTTTAAAAGCTAGGGGGTTTCAGATTTTGGTGGCAAGAGGCATATAATGGGCTCTAAATCAGTTTAGAATGGTTAGGCTACAACCAAGGATCCATGTGCGGACCCAGGTCATTTTATTATTTCTGATGCCTGACCGATGAAATACAGTCCCTGAGAATGCCCATGAATTGTGTCTATCTACAAATATACTAATTGTGTTTTTCTTTCTCTTTTCAATCCCAGGAGGTGAATTAGTTGTCCCTCTTCTTATAGAAGACCCTTTAGCTACCCCTCCTATTGCTACTCGTGCACCTTCCATTACACTCCCCCCTACCTTTCGCCCCCTCCTCACCATTATTGAGACCACCAAAGATTCCCTGTCCATGACCTCTGAGGCGGGGTTACCTTGCTTGTCGGACCAAGGCAGCGATGGTTGTGATGATGATGGCTTGGTGATATCTGGGTATGGCTCAGGGGAAACCTTTGACTCTAACCTGCCCCCTACTGATGATGAAGATTTTTACACCACCTTCTCCTTGGTAACAGATAAGAGTCTTTCCACTTCAATCTTCGAAGGTGGCTACAAAGCACATGCGCCCAAGTGGGAATCCAAGGACTTTAGACCTAACAAAGTCTCCGAAACTAGTAGGACTACTACCACATCTTTGTCCCCTGAGCTGATCCGCTTCACAGCTTCCTCCTCGTCTGGGATGGTGCCCAAATTGCCAGCTGGCAAAATGAATAACCGTGATCTCAAACCCCAGCCTGATATAGTCTTGCTTCCGTTGCCCACTGCCTATGAGCTAGACAGCACCAAACTGAAGAGCCCACTAATTACTTCCCCCATGTTCCGTAATGTGCCCACAGCAAACCCCACGGAGCCGGGAGTCAGACGGGTTCCGGGGGCCTCAGAGGTGATCCGGGAGTCGAGCAGTACAACAGGGATGGTCGTCGGCATTGTGGCTGCCGCTGCCCTCTGCATCTTGATCCTCCTGTACGCCATGTACAAGTACAGGAACAGGGACGAGGGGTCCTACCAAGTGGACGAGACGCGGAACTACATCAGCAACTCGGCCCAGAGCAACGGCACGCTCATCAAGGAGAAGCAGCAGAGCGCCAAGAGCGGCCACAAGAAGCAGAAAAACAAGGACAAGGAGTATTATGTGTAAAAACGACGCCGCTAATAATCACGTGAATTTGGGACACAGAATTATTTCTCTGTAAATCTATAAATACTCGGCAAATGAGATTTCACAGGAGTCAGAACAGTTATTGCTACAAGATGGGGTGCACCATGACTATGGTGGGGAAAACCGTTTTTAAAAGGACACACACAAAGATGTACCTACCTGTAAAGTTCCGCCATGGCTGCTTTGATTCAGTCATCGCTCGGAGACAGAACATTCTCTCTGCCCTGCTGTATCATAAAGCACACACGTTGCGCTCTGGAGCAAGCAGATGGCTCCTCCCACTTCCGCGGACTTGGAAGCTTCCTTCTCTGGAGGACTTTTCACCCAAGGTAGAAGACTTTCATGGCTTACTTGTTCCATAACTCCAAGTGAGTCTGTAATGATGTTTGTGAAGCTTGACTGTAACAATGTTTTCTTTTTTCTTTTAATTATGTAAAAAACAAAAACAAAAAAAAATGAAAAAAATGAAACACAAAAACAAACAAACAAAAAAAACCCACCCTTATCTGGTTTTGGCCAGTGTATGTGTAACTTTTCAAGATCTGAGGGGAAAAAAAATGGCTTTTGGGTTTTTGTTTATTTTTTGAGAATGACTGGACATAAGAAAAACAAAACAAAAAACTCAGAAAACGAAAGTAAGAGAGACTATTGCCATATGAACTCAAAAGCTACCATGGTGTTCACTCTACGTATCAGGTTGTGGTATTTCTAGAATCTGTTGTTTGTTTCCTATATGATGCTTTGCTGAACACATAGCAAAATCACAGGATGGATGATAGCATTGATTTGAAAAGCTGGTCCCTCAGGATCTAATTTCAGAATCTGCCACCCCAAACCCTGACCAGATGGGTTTAGGGCTGGTTTTATCAGAGCTTTTGGCTTAACAATATTGTTCCTGTTCATTAGCCCAGCCAAAGTGTGGTAAAGGAGAAAGGCCCACAAACTAAAAACAGAGCCTTTTGAGGGAAGGTGAAGAGGGGGTGGGCTGGATCTGTGACTGACTGAAATGCATGCACATAATAAAAGACAAGACAATACTAAAAGTCTGTGAAAGAATCAAAACAGTAGGGGAGTTCAACGTGTGATGGATCCACAAAAGGTCACACAAGCCAAACATGGCATGACAGAGTGCAAAATACATAGTTCTTCCCCCGACCCCAACATGATGTTTTTCATAGTGGTTTAATTTTGGAGCCTGACACTTATGGATAACTCTGTCCTTCCATTTGCTCACGTCTCCCTTCACCCATCTTTTCTAAAAACAAATAAATAATAAATGAATAAAGCTGCTGTGACACACACACACACAAAAGGAATTTAATAGTATAATATATATATAAATAAATATATATACAGATATATTTATCATGGTATGTTTGATGGGATGACTGAAACAGGAAAACTGTTAAAGTCTTGAAGTGGAATGAGAATGTTGTTTTAAAAGAAAATAACAAAACAACAAAAAAGTAAACCTTAAAATGTGAAGAAAGTGTGAGTTTTAGTTTTGTCACAGTTAACTGTGTCAAAGAGAATAAACAATCTTCTCAGATTTTGTTTACATATTTTACTACATTTTTGCTGTATAATCCCTTAGCCACCTATGTACATACTGCTTTAAGGACTGTTCTTTCCTTTCTATGGGTTTGTTTCGGTTTGTTTGGTTTATATTCCAGTTGTCTGCCTTTCTGTTTGAAAAGAGGAAACAAATGTATAGAAAAACAAACTGGTTGTGTGGCCATAGCTAATCCAAAAAGCAAGAGACAAAGCAAGACAAATATTCACACAAAAATGAAGTATGTCTTCTGGAGGGTCGGATATATACAATTTCTTTTGTATAGATGAAAACCAATCAGCTGTTTAGATTTAGAAATCTACTCTTGGCTGGTCTTTGTAAGTTGCATGAATATTTGACTTTGAGAAATATCTTAAAGACATGGGGCAAAAAGCGTGATCTAAATGATGGTAGCCTTGACGAATGTGTATGGAAAGAGGTGTTCCTCATTATCTGATACTTCAGTGTGTTATGAGTTTTGGATTTTTTTGTTGTCATTAAAAAAGACAGGATTATAAAGAGATATCAAAGCACGATTTTAGATAACTTAAATGGCCCAACCTGTATGAAGTTGATTATATCTCGATGTCTGTAAAAGATTGCTGTTTTTGGAGTCTTGAGATCTTGTGAACCGATTTCCTACTTTCTTTCTTTACTTTTTTTTTTTAATTTGAGTAAAAATACATTTGTTATATTCCTTTTAGTGTAAGTTTCTATTTGGACAATTTTATGGGAACATGTGCATTCTGTATGTGAGCTTCTATCATATTCCTGTTGTTTTATTAGCAGACTCTTAAGGAATTTATTTTATGATGTTGTGAAGTTACTGCTTTTTCTTTTTCCTTTCTCTTTGATTTCATATTTGCATTTTCGTTCAAGGATATGCTTAGCAATAAAATGTTCTTCCCAAAACCTTGTATGATGATGCATTTTTATTTTCTAAACGTTTGGTAAAATATCTTACACTGGAGCACAACATGTCGTATCTTATTAAAAGCCAAGTGAGCTAGGACCATGTGAAATAAAATATTTTAACCAGTTACTAATTACTTATATAAATTTATCAAAAGTGGCACATTCATGGGCTAAACAACTGTTGTCTGTCAACTGAGGCATTATTATTTAGATTGCTATGATAGGGTAAGCAGGAGGGAAAACACTTCTGAACAGGTAAGGTGACAGAAGCCTGTATTCTGGGAAGTATTGGTACTATACATTTTTATTTTTTTTAATGTTTGGTAACTTTTAAGTATTTGCTGCAAGTCAACAAACTTCAAACAGTTTTCCAGAACCTTGCTTATATAATGTCTTAAGCCCTGGAAAGCTTTAGATGCCTTCTCTCTGAGTTTCCTGGCATATTGAAAATTTTTTAAAAAAAATCACTAAGTCCAAAGACAAAATATACATGAATGCTTACATTTTAACAGCTTTCTAGATTTTTGGATTATAAACTTCTGCAAATATTCATTATAGCTGGCACCGTTCTCATATCTCATGTGCCCCTGATTTGCTGGTTCCCTACACACGTGCTTACTTTGCCAATTGGATAATCCATCATGATATGCCACATTTTTCACCATGATCCTGACATGCTGGTTAACTGAACTGGTGTACTCTATCCGTACATAGGTTACCAGTTTTCAAAGAGAAAAGCAAATTTAGTTAACCCTGTTCCTTTGGATTTCATATGGTTATGCTCTTTACTATCCTGGGAATGGAAAAAAAAAAAAAAAAAAAGGCCCAAGGATGTCAAATTATGGAAAGTTTCTATTTTTGCTGCCTGTCTCGGATAATTTATGTAAATTAAAGCCACATTTATCAATCCCCATAATGTGCCAGGTACTGTATTAAATGTTTTGGATCTGTGTAGTGTGTTTAGTCCCTGAGTAGTACATAGTATTTTCCTTATCTTAAAGATGAAGAAACAAAGACACAAAGAGCTTAATGACAACTTGGCAAATACATTCCTAATCATGTTAGAAGTCAGGCCTTGCTGACATGGAGGTCAGAGGAATGTCGTGGAATGGGTAGAGGTACTGAGACCCAACAGGGTTGGGTTGGAACTCCAGCTAGACTCCCACCATGTATGGGCAGTCTCTGAAATTTGGCTTCCTCATCTGAAAAATAGGACACATCAATGGCCTTGCCTTGCAAGGCAGTTTGGGGAAAAAGTGAAATAAAGTGTTTTAATTGTGATTGATACAGAGTAGGGGCTCAACAAAGTTATGCTCCTTTGAGTCCTTTGCTATTCTGTATATAATAGCTGCCTTCTAGAATTAGAAATCCACTAAATTCTACATTAATAAAAAGTTTTAGTTGTTGGCAAGTCAAGACTAGTCGTAATAGACAAAACTAGTCTTTTTCTGGTCATATACTTTGCAGGCATGACTGCAACTAGTAAATATGTGGCGTTGAAATATGGTAGCATACCTCTGTCTGACAGCACATTTTAAGCAAGTGGCCAGAAGCTGGGGGTATGTAAAGGGAGTCCAGATTTGAGAAAACCTGCCAGAGAAATTTCCAAATAATGGTTAATGTGGTAGATTCATCAAGATCTAAGTGGCATTTGCTCAGATACACTGGTTAAAGTTCATCAACAGAAATACTTTTTCACTGCCGTTCCATGAGGAAATGTTGAGACTACACCATCTCTTTTCAATGTGTTTAACTTGGGCCATAGGCTTTGGAATCTGAAAAGCTTAGCTCAGATCTTGGATCTGAATCTTTGGTCTATCCTTTACTAGCCGTGAAACTTAGAGTAAGGTGTGGGGTGACTCTAGCTCCATCTGTGAAATTGGAAGGATATTGGAGTGATTTTTGGGGGGCGGGGGGAGTACGAATTGTTTTATTATCATCAACATGGCACTTAAGTAAATGAAATCTTGTCAAGTACATGGTGACTTGGGTTTTGTTTCTGCATCTGTCACTTGGCGAATGAAGATACCATCTTCAGGATGTTCTGTGTCATCCATTTCATACATATAGACGATGCTATTGTGAGTGTGGTCCCGTCATTACTGAAGGCCAGGGATGAAATGCGGGTGGGGTACCGATGGAACTGGCACAGTTGCTTTTTGTTAAATGGATCCCAAATGTTTACAAATCCATCAGAGCCACCTGTAGCAAATGTATTGTGGATGTTGTGAAAGGAAATGGCATTGACTGGTGCTCTTAGTGCTATTCTATAACTAAGTGAGCTGATGTGAATATTAAGTGCTTGGTTATAAGCACAGTGCCTGGCCCATAGCCCTCAAACAATGATGGCTAATACTGCCTTTTTAATCACTGAGTATTGTCCTAGGAAAAAAATAAGCCAAAATTCCTTCTAAAAGTTTAGCAAGGTTATATATTGGAGAGCCCCAGAGCAATCACTTTACTCTGTCACCCAAAATCATAACTGTTTTTATTCCCCTACAGTTGAAATCACATTGATTCTTTGAGCTCTTCTTGAGTGTTCCACCAGAAATGTGCACACCCCTGTAAAACCCATTATTTCAATCAACTCCTTCAGTATAGGGTGCATAAGAAAGATTCGAATGGTAGCCTGTTCCATACCTCAAAGGACAATCTTCCAACCCTTCCAAATTACAGAGTTATCATTGCCTTAGACACCCTTTCAAAACTCTATATTGGCTTTCCCGCCATAAACTTTCTAAATACCACTATCTAGTATATAATCCAAGAACCACTTTAAGCATTTACTCTTTTGATAATTCAACACTTACTGAACACTTCTGCACCATCCAATCTATTGGTTGGTGTTACTTTCAGTGAAGGCAGACAATGGATATAAGCCTTTTTTTCTGGTGTAGATCCCTAAGCTAAAGTTCTCTTCACCCTATTCAAATTGAAGTTTGGTCTTTCTCCAAAGATATCCAAGTCCTGTTCTTGTCCCAGTTCAATT